ATAAATATATAGTTATATTTTTTGTAGAAGGTTCGTTTCTTTGAGAAGTTCTATGAGTGATGTAATTATTTTTATTACTAACAATTTCATGTATTACTCTTTTGGATCATCTCAGAGATATAACTCATGATTTTTGTTTTATTTATGTCAGCTGCTGTTTTGATTCTGTTACATAACATTTTTTCAATACACCCTTGCCAAAATAACTTGATTTCTGGTTAACGTTTATTTAAGAATAATATTTTTCTTTAATATGATTTATTATCATAATTATTATTAATAGAGCTTATATTATATAGTAGGTATTTATAAATTGATTCATAAAACATAGAATAAAATATGACATTTTATTTTACTTTTCAACAAATTTTTTTTAAAAGTCGTTTGCTTACTTTTTTGTTGATCTAGTTCTAAATTTTAGTGGCTTATTATTTTTGTTAGCAATAACAACTTTTTGATTTATGTACGTATATTTAAATTTAAATTTAACTAACTGTATTCTACAATAATTAAATGCCTATCATGTATTAAACTCAATGAATAAAACAAAATTAGTATTTACTTTTAGGTTTTTGAAATAATATTAAAGCATTTTACGATTTTTGGATTTTTAGAATTTTGTATTAGGCTTTGAAGTTTGAATCGTGACATTCTATCTACTAAATCATAAATGATTATAATATAAATATAAAATTAATAATTGTAGAAGTGATTTTAAAGTTAAATGGTGTTTTTAATTGAAGTACTATTATATCGAACTAACATGTGAAATATTTACTTATTTATTTATTAACTGTAAGTTTCAAATGTATGAAATATTATGATATACAGAATCATTATAATTAATTTTTATCATTAATTTTTACTTAAACGAACTGCACAGTTCTAATTAATTAAACATTTAAATTTACCATAAGTATATTGATAGTTTGCACATAAACTTTTAAAATGTATAAAGTATAACGAATTACAAATAAAAAAAATATATTTCACCGTTATAAAAAAAAAAAAAATAGCATCAAGGATCAAGGCAATATTTAAATAATTAAAATTGTTTTATGATTAAGTTAGAAATTAATTGGTCAACATTAAAACACGTTTTTAAAAATGTTAGGAATTAAAAATACCTATTGTTGGTAGGTATATTTCTATCCAAATTTCTTAAATTCATTACCCATAATACCCAAATAATTATATCTTTATTATAATGTCAAATGGAATCATAAATAATAATTAAATTTAAACAATGGTATGTTTAGGTATTTACTATAAAATATTCCCCAATAAATGTAATTATTTCAATGAATTCAACAAATTTATTATACTCGTTGCGTTGCTCTACATTCGATTATCTTGTAGACAATAACATTAAACGTTTTTTGTTTACAAAACATATAATATTTGCTACTATTAACCGACCATGATATTATGCGATTTCTCTGCGAAACACTTTACAATAATTTGTTAAGTGACTTCCATCTAATATATATTTTTTTTGTTGTAGTCGGTTTTCGTTCGTTGACAGGTTAAACCAATTTTTTTCTTCTTCAAACCGACCTTGGTTGATGAATTAGTCCCCAGCATGGGTGTGATTGTGTTTCGGTTGCGCTGTGGCTTCTGCATTATTGAACGTAGCTTTCCGTACCCTGCAGGACTCCTCGTTTCTCTCCCGTTTGTGCACGCCACCATCATTGCTTGCACCACCGTCTCTCCATTCTCTTCAATCGGGCGTCGCACGAAAATGTTCCACTATCAATCATGAGCCAAAGCCCTACTGACAAACATGGCCACTCAACCGTTTCATCCCCCAACAACAACAACAAATCAATCACATTCAAAAATGTTCACTGAATCCCACCCTCCACCCATGGTCGTACCTTGCGAATACTTATATTCATATATAACTGCACACACACACACACAATATATGTGTATAATTTTTTTTTGTTTATTTTGTTTGTGACGACCTAAAGATGAAAAAGTCTTTCGGGTTAATTTTTTGCCCATTTGTCATGATCCGCGCATCGGATTGTCGTCGGCTGACGTATTGCGAGCATCCTCCAAATAWACACACGCACAGACATATAGACGCACACACGACATTTTTTACCTACACTTCCAAAGATCCTTTTGGACCTTCTTGTTGGCATAATGTTATACATTAATGGATCGATTTCTTTTTCTATATTTAGGCACAAGCCGCACTAATGCACGACGCAGTTTTGGTCCTCGTGGAAACCTTCAACAAGCTTTTATGGAAAAAACCTGATATGTTTAAGACGAACAACAAGAGAACACTTTCAAACAGCAATTCATCTATGTCTAGTATTTCGTCTTCTCAGATCCTTGGTTTGGACTGTAATAACGGCCGAACATCGGGTAATCAATGGGAACACGGAGAAAAAATTTCACGATTTTTAAGAAAGGTAAGAACGACTATATACAATTTAATTTTTAAAATAAGATATTTTATTTGAAGCGTTTTTGAATGTTGGTAAGAATAACAGATTATAGCTAACCTCKGCAAAATTCCGTATTAAATATTTAACTCTTTAAAATAAAAATCATTATTTGTATACATAGTAATGTATAAAATCAGCACAAGATATTGGGACTGAAAACTCGTACTGTTTTATTCACCTTATTTGGTGTAAGGTTAAGAAACGCATGATTCCATTCGTGCCTTTGATCCACAAATAAAAAATTTGGTATATTCAGGGCTTAAAACGTTAGATAAATATTATTTATACGAGTACCTAAACTGATTTTAGGAAATGTGAATTAGGGAATACGCAGTATTGCCCCACGCCCCCACATATTTTATACCAGATAAAACATAAAAAATAAAGGGTGTTATCTTTTACAAATAGCTTAATAAATTAGAGGTAAGTAAATGTTGATATAGAGTTGTAAAGCAACCTACGAGTTGATTTAAGAGAAGAAAATGTATAATGATATCAAAAATACTGTTATGAACGGAGTAAGGTGTATTCACTATTTTTTATAACCAACAATGCTAATTTGTTTATCATAGCATTTTATGATATTTTATTTTTGTTAAATGGTATAATTTCACTATAATTTCTAAATCTCAATAAAYTACTGAATGTTGTTTTTAAAAATGCGTGTTTTATGTAAATTTTGGTTAATTTGTTTACCTACATTTATTTAATTATTGAAAAGAAAGTTTTAGTAGTTAGGTACTAAAATTGCATATATACCAAATGCATAATACATTGAAATCAAAACGTATTGTAATAATAAATTATAACCAAATATTTATATTGATAAGGTTTGTTTACAAAAAATATCACTTGGCATAATAATATGGTGGAYCATCTCACTTGATAATGAGAAGACGGCTATTTAGTATTTAGTATAACTAATAGTTATATATCTGGGATAACTTTTTAAACATATTTTTTGGACTTAATTTATAATTAATATAACATTTCTGTTTTAACCACCTCTTCTGCTCTAAAAATTATCAGCAGAACATGAAAAAACRTTAATGATAAACCAATACTTATCCAACTGTTTTCAAAGTTTAAAAAGTTATTGCTACTTGTGAAAATATGATTTTGTATTATTTTTGTAGATATTAAATTTTCATACCTACATTATTTGTTCATACTTTAGCGTATATCTAGTTCTAACGATAATGACGAAGGAAAAATATGGTTAGAATATTTTTCACAGTTATCATTACATAGCTATGAAAAACTCTCAATGGACTAAAATCTGCAGCAACGTGTGCCACCACAGTCCAGGCAAAACTCAATTATGAAATCGTTCTTCCTCGTTCCTTTTCATTTGCCCTTTTTCATGTATATACCATATATGTAATACCGTATACGCGTATAGCGTTATATGTATATATGCTCAGAGAGGGTGGTAAGTGCGTGAAGGGGTAGCGGTGGTAGTGATGGTAGTGACGGTGGTTGGGGGTTATCCAAAGTGGTATAAATGGGCTTGGACGTCCCGTCGCGTTAATAACGTCCGCGCGAAATAATCCCTCCTTTTTCCCCTCACCTCAGCTGTTCGTCACATACACCCACCCACCGTGCCACGATGTCTATTGCTATATATATATTTATACGTGTTTAATGTACGAGCTATGAGCACCCGGTGGCGGCTGCGAGTACTGCCACCACTACCATTCTTTTTCGGTGGCAGAGTTTTTAATTTCTCTCGCCTAAGTAAAATTAGTGAGCACCGGTCGTGATTTACCCACGTATATTGCAAGGCGATCCACCCGGGACGACTCAGCCGCACACGTTCAATCTTCATCGCGATCACCGCGTCCTGCACAGACGAGAAGGACTGGAGATGRATTAAGAGGGTGGTAGTGGTTGGGGGTGGTAGTCGCAGCAGTTGAGTCTTACGTCACGACCGCCAACTTGGTGCTCGCTGTGAATTCGTCTCTGTCACCTTTTATTATCTCTCCACCCACCTCCCACCACAAGCCCAAAGTATACGGTAAAAAGATCGCACCAAACGCCCCTCTAATAAGAGTGAATGCCGTCGCCATCTCTGTATATATATACTACCCTGCAATGTGTATAATGTACGATGTTTACACTCACACACACGCGCGCGCGTGTCATTGTGTAACTTGTTCGCGCTTTGGGCAATAAACGACGGGATGATATTGCAAGCGGACTCATAGTGATGCGGCATGCTATGCGGCTCACTACGTAAATCATACGAAATAGTAACTTCAGTGTTTGTATTTTTGTATTTACAAGAAGCTCCCATGTTTCACAACGACGAAACACGTATAAGTTTATTCGTACAATATGTAAATTGCCGAAATAAATCAAATGTAGTCAAATTATACAAATATGTATATAGTTTATTTTTTAAGATTATATTAAGTACTACATATTTATTATTTAATGTATTACATACGATTTATATAATATTTTATACTATAGGTATTATATTAATAATAATTAATAGKTATTTGTAGGTATTATTAAACATAATATTATAACTCTATAAATCGGTATAATATGCCTGGTTTAAGCTTGAATCGCATACCTATGATCTACGTCTTCGTCAACATGTTAATAATTGTTGCACGCGTATATAAAAAATAAAATAATATAACGTTCAAATGATAAGATGAATGCTTCTTTAAAAGTACTTGTCAAAATTAACGTCGAATATACCTATATATCATATGATATATATGATATTATAATTATAATGTGTATACGAGTTGCTAAAAAGTATAAAATGGTATATGTATATTGTATGACCCAGCATCTGCATAATTTTACATATTTAGTATATTAT